TAACTGACAGCATCTGACTGTACCTAAGAAGGTTTGTATTCCTTGGCTCTGGAGTCTGGAAAGTGGCTTATTTTCAGCTGCTTCCCAAGCTTCTTTTTTCTTGCAAGATCTCAGAACTAAAATATGTTACTGCTTCTTTGTCTATTTGTGCCATTTTCTTTGACACCCTCCATCCAAATAGTCCCAAGAAATTTAATAGACTTAGAGTAGCATCAAGGCACTGATTGCCTGTAAAAGTCTTGATTGCTGGTAAAATATCATCCACGCATTGTAGTAAAGTTCTGCCTAGATTTTCTTTTTGCAGCTTTCCAATTTCTTTTTTCTTTTTATATCTTTTTTTATTGTGAGCACAATCCACGTCAGCTGCACCTTCCACCTGGTGTTTAGGCTCCCCCACTCAAAAGCAAACAATTTCTAACTATCTGTGTCAGGAGATATTGAATAAAAAGCCTCCTTAAGATCAAGCATAATAAAACATTTATAATCCCCTTTCACTGCTGTCAAGAGTGTGTACAGACCAGCTACTGCTAGATAAACATCAGGTACTTATTAGTAATAGCCCTTAAACCTTGCACTAATCTATAACTGGTAATATCACTATGTTATATTCTAATTCACACTCTTTCAATAACCCCTATTCTAAAGATTTTTCAACAAGCTTCTCCAACTTTTTACTTGCCTCCCACTTAAGAGGATATAATTTTTGCTTTACCAGTTTGACTTAGGTTTGAAAGTAATCCTTACTGGTTTAGCTAATTTTGATCATCCAGGCATCTCAGTTGTCTATAACGATAGGGTTAATTCTCTACCTCCTTTGGGATTTCTTCCAGCTCTTTTTTTATTCCTGTAACATAAAAATCTTTGCCTCAATAGCTTTTGATTCTGGTATTTTTAATTTATATTTCTTCGTCATGGAAAATTATTTAAGCATCCAGTTTTCCCAATAAATCTCTTTCCAGCAAGGGCATTGTTGATTCAGGCACATACACAATGGTGTGTCTCCCACTGTTTTCTTAACTTAAATAGTGATGTTTGTAAAAGAAAAGACTGTTCTTTTTCCTCCCTATTGCACCCACAATGCTTACATGTTCCAAACTAAGCTTTTCTCTACACATGATTCATACCAAATAAGTTGCTCCTATACCGATTAAAATTAACTTTTTCATTCCCCAACAGGGGACATAACTGGTGAGCATGATGGTCTCCATAGCTTCTTGACTGAAATATATATGTCCAGTAACTTCTTGGTAAAGTTTGAAAGGGTACATATTCGAAACATAGACTAGTGATATTTCTATAACTTATACTTTGCGACTTTCTAATTATGATCATAGCTAACCCTTCAATATTACTTAATTGATTATTTGATCAAAATATTCATAACACTGTGAATGTGTGTCTGTCCACAAAGAACTTGCAGGGGTCAGAGACAAAAGCCATATGGTTTGTGGAGCTAGAGGTGATGAATGGGAAATGGCTTCTGGAGAAGAGATACAGGCATGGCTTAGTGTCAGCCGATCACACACTGTGCAGATCTTTGGAGAAAGCTGTTGACAGGCACATTGTAGGCAACAGAGCTTTTGCAGTTTAGGAAAGTACTTATTCCATGTCTTGACTTCCTCCTGTGTCATGGAGTTCATCACTCTTGCTGTCAGAGCACAGTCACTGGAATGGGTCATATAAACAAACTAATTTTGCACATTATCCTGCAGGAAGATTTCCCATCAAATCTCTGCTGAGCCCACTCAGGCTGAGTGTCACCACCTTACCTTAAATGTGTAAGACACCTCAATCTACAAGCTGCAAAGAAGCCCATTCCTTACTAATACAAGTTTTTCATTCCAAGTTAGGTGAGTTTATCACAACCTTGAAATTCATTAATTTCCACCATGAACTTCCATTTGTGTTCTGCTTGTTATGATAGAAGTGCATTCCTAGCAGACCTTATCTGGCAGTATTTATGATCCTTTCCAGCTTTCAGAAGGTTCCCACAGATACTTACAATACATTTACAAACAGACATGTCAAAAGGAAGACAATGGCTTTACTGTGCGTGTCTTTACTTCCTCTTCCAAGCCACACAAGATTTCCCATGGGGTTAGGGTGGCATACATTGCTTAGCCAACAGCCCACAGTGCTCCCTTTGTCCTTTCCAACTGGAGACAGGCGCTTTCTGAGGCAGCCAGCACTCAATCCAAGAGGGTTAGACATGCTGCTATCAACATCTGGCAGCAGCTTCAGCATCAGTCCTGTAATCCTTGAGCTCCTTGTCCCTCCAAAGAGACAGCGCTCAGCAATTTTCTTCAGGTATTTCATAAAAAGACAAATGGAAGCTGTAATCCACATTCTGTCAACTCGTGCCATTTTGGGATATCCCAGGTAATGGGAAATCCCAAAATGTAGTGGGAAAAAGCCCCAAGGCCAGTTCCTGGAGGGACAAATAGCTCTGTAGCTGTTGTAGTCCAGGGCTGGCTCTGTGCATCCTGGCAGTGCCGAGTCTGAGGTAGCCTGCTCTCCTGGAGTGCTGGTGGCACGCAGAGTGTGCCATCGCTCGCCTCGGCACAGAGCTGCCTCCTCCATGGTCCCTGAGGAGGCACCTGGGCCCTGCCACCTGCTCCCCTGGGCTCCTCATCTGGGGAATGTACCTGCAGAGCCTCTGCAGCACTCTCTAGGCATAGCTAGTCCTTCTTAGATTAGGCTTCGTGTCCCATGAAAGTATTTGTAATGTTTCCAGACCTGATCAGGCAGCGCTGTGCCCCAGCCAGGCTCAGCACGGAGCCAGCCGAGCTCCCTGCACCCACAGTGCAGTTAATCCATGAGCAGAATGCTGCTGACTGGCTGGTAACTGCAGCTACTCCTGGGTGTCTTCCTAGGATTGTGAGGTTTGCCTTGGAAATGTTTTTGAAAGGGGGCTGGCACTGTTGCTGAGCTGCACTGTGCTCTTCCAGCATAGTGGTTAGGTGAACAGCACCTAACCACCAAGTCCCTGTGTGGGATTTGGGAGCTACTATCTTTCCTAAATATTTCCACCGAAAATTCCTACAACAATACTCAAAAAGACCATAAAGAAAGGCAGTGGGAGGGTTTTTTTTACAAATCTCAAAATAAATGGATTTTGCCCCTTTGCACTCTTATCCATATACTCATCAGCATCATAGAATACTCTGAATATTGGAGGGGACCCACAAGGATCAAATCTAAGTCCAATTTCAAGATGTGTGCATCTTAGTAGCCTGGCCAGGATCACTTACATGCAAGAGAGATGGTGCAGGATACATACTGGTTCTCAGTGTTAGGAAAATTAATCCACAAACATCAGAGGTTTATGTCCAAAATGGAGACAGAGGAGTCCTTTTGCTTTATTTGAATAGAGGAAGAGGCCATGGGGCCTTCCCCTGGGGTCTCTCAAATTTTTGGAGGACATAGCTTCCTTTTTTATCCTAATTTCCTGGGCACATTTCCCTTCTCTCTTTCCTCGTTGGCTGAGGTACCGAAGATTTCCCTCTAATGTATAACCCTCCTGTTATAAGTAATAAGCGATAAAGCCAAATCAATAATCAATAAAAAAGGTTTTTATTTCACGACTGAGATTCGGTCTCCGATAGCCACTCTCAAAGGGACAGCGTCGAGCCCGGGATCGGCACTGGGTGAACACAGATCCAACCTCTACTGCTTCGGATCTCCTCTGTTCACAAATGCTGTCTCTGCCGGGCTGGTTTTATACGTTTTTTTCCGCCTGGGGCAGAGTTTCTCCTATTCTTCTCCTTGCTTCACATATTCATGTCGTGTTTCCTTTTCTCTGTGCTGGGCTGGGCTAAACTGTTTCTGGGAAGTGATGAATGATGATTGTCGAGTTAGGGGAACCTGGCATTGGGATGCACACCCTTGATGAATCTGACTATCCTGATCATGCTGGGGTGTCTCTGGAGTGTCCCGGGAAAGGGCCCATCTCCACGGAGCCACGTCTTTTCCTTTGCTAATTAAGTTTTTCCTCTTTGCTGCCCGTCTGTGATTTCACAATTTGTAAAGCAATCTCTTTCCCCTCGAGGTTTTAAATCTTTAAGATTTTTTCGTACAAGCACAACTTATTTCATGTATATTTTACACAGGCACGACTTATTCCATAACATATATCACACTCCCTTTTAATTTTTAATTGATATGGAATTTAGGGGTTTTTCTTCCCCATCGTTTCTTTAATCTTTCAATGTCTAATTTCATTTATCAGCCAACCTAAAGTTTATTTGTAAAAGCAAGTATCTGTTTCCATTCATCAATCAGTGGAATCCTTCCCACCGTTTCTTTTATCTCCCAGTGCTAGTTTTATCTACCAGCAGACCCACAGCTTGTTTGTAAAGACAAATCCGCTATTCCTCTCATCAGTAAGCAAAGCCTGTCAAGACATGAGTTAACCAACAGCTGTTTTAATAAAATATAATAGAAATAGGAGTGTAGACAACAAATAAATTTAAGACCCCTTCAGATGCTGGGCATGCCGTGTTCAGGCAGCATTGTTCAAGACCGGAGGGGGAACCCTGTTGGCTTGGTAGGGAGGGGTGATGAAGCTTTGCTGACACTTTGTGAGCGAAGTCTCTCCTGAGTGGTATTGGTGAGCACAAAGTTGTGACAGCATGGAAAGATCTGGCAGCACACAAGGCAGGAGCACCATGCTTTCCACTGAGCTGAGCTTCAGGTGTTTCAGGGAAGGTCTGTGTGCCACACAGAACAGCTGCGGCCCTGCGAGGGGTGTCCTACACGGAAGAATAAATTACGTTTTCCTGCCAAGGAATCATTATCATCCATTTGAAACTTAGAATCAGGCTTCAAAGACATGGTTGAAAAATTAAATTTTTTAACTGGAAGCTCCTCAGGCCCCCCGCAGCCCAGCTAAGGCGTGAGGAAAGGAGGCGGGAGCCCTGCTGGGGGCAGGCATGTTTGGATACGTCATTCCGAGGCACCAGCCGAGGTCCGGCAAAGTTCTCCGGTCTCCTCTTTCACCCCCGACCTGTGCCAGCGGAGCCGGGCGTGTGCCTTGTGCTTGGGCGTCTGCAGGGACTGCAGGGAGGAGAGCACCGCCAGAGCCCACCGCGAAGGAGAAGCCATGTACCGGAGAAAGATGAGAGGGTAAAAGAAATTAAAAAAAAAAAAAAAAAAGAAAGAAAGCAAGCAGTCCAGCTTCAGCTGTGTGTTGTTGCTGCTGCTGCGACCCGAGGGCGTCCCTGGCTGCGCAGCCCGGGGAGGGAGGGAGAGCTTTGTGTCCGTGCGGGCTCGGGGACGGGCGGTGCTGGTGGCACTGGGAAAGGGCGAGGGCAGCGCTGGTCCCTGAGCGGGACCTTTGTTCCCTGTGTCACTGCGGTGCACCAGGGGCTGCACTGGGCCCCCAGCCTGCTGGGGAAGCTGCCGGTGGTTTGGAAGCTGTCCCGGGAGCCATAAAGCATTGAGGATCAGCAGGCACTGCGAAAAGCCCCGGGAAGATGGGGGTGTAGGGCAGGGCTGGGGCGGGAACTGGCCTGCCTCGACGCCGGGCTGCCAGAGAGGATGAAAATGCATCGTCCTTGCTCGGCAGCTTCGAGGTCTTGAGACAGCTGTTATCACCCAAAATGAAGTGTCTCAGACCATCTTCTGTTCCAGGGAGAGGGAAGTTTTAATGCAAGAAAAGAAGTGTAAAGAATTGTTATAAGTGAGAAGCTTGACTAGGCCAATATTCAAGAAGCAATCAATTTATTAATTAATATGGTAAAGTATGAGCAATACAGTGCTGGATAACGTGGGGGAAGTTTTCCCTCCAGCTGCACACCGATAGTTGAGGCTTACAGGTATTTATAGGGGTACTCATAAGCTTTCTCAGCAGTTTCTATGCCCAATTTTTACATCACAATTCTATACACTATTGTGATTTAGTTTCTCTCAAGATGTATCCCAGAAAGGAGTATCCCCAGATGGTGGGGGTCCAGTTTCCGAAAGAAAAACGAATCCCAGCTGGTGAAGTCCAGCTCCCCAGATGTGGGTCCACCTTTTGATTGCAAGGGCTATAAATCTCATAACAGTGATGTCCAGCTTCCCTTGGTCCAAACTATTAATCCTTGAGTTGGTGTTCATCTTCCTTTCTCAAGCTCCTTTTCTCTGTTTTCTTAAGGTGTGAGATAAGCTTGTTTCCTTTATATATATTCCAAAGCTATAGTTTCAAGGAAACAAGCAATATTCTACAATTATACTTCAAAAGGTTATTATTGCAAAACTCTTTAAGGCTTAGCTACAAGCAAAGAGCAACATCCTTAACGCTTTAATTCAAATGCTCCTAAATCAACTAAGGTTAATTGTGAACAAAGGATAGGTTCAAAGGCCTTCTTCCATGCTTTACTTTCCTCAGTTATTCTTAGAATTCGTCTTTATAACTGCCCCATGGTTGGTTTCCATACATATTACAATCACAAATACACACATTGCCTGTATGTACCTGACACAAAACACAGCTTTGTATTTCACAGAATGCACTTAGTAAAGAAGTGCCTTGGTTGTGCAAAGCATTAGCAAGGGACAAAAAAACGTGGATTAAAGAAGTTTTGGCAAATTTATGCTCATGTATTTCTAGACATTATCATTATTACTGTTATTATCTTTCAATGAGAACAGTTTTAAATAGTTTCTAATAAAAAGTGTTAGAGGAAGGAAGGAAAATTATTAAATATCTATGATGATACAGTTTATTACACAGTTTTTGTAAGATATTCGTATTAGGAGCTGTTTTGTGAATTTTAAAATAATCTAATTGCATTCCTGTGCAAGTTATGGATGGTGGGACCATACAATAGGAAATATAGAATTACCACATTTTAAAATGCATTTTGTAATTAGTCAATACATCTTCAAGGTTTAGTGTATGTTTACATAGCAGCTGCATATTAATAAATAAGAAAATAAAGCCTAGGAGATAGTTACGTTGGCTGTCATCCCTCTATCATTTTCTGCCCTAATTCCTCTAAACATTTTGGGGTACAGTCCATTTTTCATATTATTAGTCATACTTTACAGTGCATTTCTCTGCAGCTCTCAAATTCTGAAAGGATTACAAATTCACCTCTATGAGACTGATGGACTTGATTTAGAAAGAAAAATTATGTTTTCTACTTTATATCTTTAATTATTTGCTAACTATGAATTTTGTCTCATATTTGTATCAATAGCTGTTATGTGACTGATTTTTTTTCAGTTAAGCTCTATGTGTATTCATGTACCATGCATGACAATGCTGAACTCTTGGTGATAACCGCAAACACTTTAAAAAAGAGTTCGGGTGATTGCATGAATTTGGGCAGTAATTTTATATCTGTAAACTCACAATTTGAGTATTCTCTTATCTGACTTGGGGAGAAAAATGAACACTGCCTTTCTGTATATATTCTATACTATGTGAGTGTTTTATCACAGTTTTAAAATTTCTCATTTGTCCTTCTGGTAGTGTTGTTTAAATTTTCATTAACCTACATTTTAAAAATAGCAAGTAATAGCTGTAGCAAATATTAATAAGAATGCAGACTTTTGGTCATATTTTACTAAGCTGATTACACCATAAATTTCACTCGGCTCAACACATCCCTAAGGTGTCTGTATCTTGAAGATTAGTGTATTTCAAGATTGTTCTAAAGAAATAGCTTTATCTCCCTGAACACAGGACACCCGTTGCAATAGCTTGTCCAGAGTGTGCAGTATTTTATGGTCAAGACACAGGCAAAAGGCTGCTTAAAACATATTTAAGTAAGACTTGGAAGTTTTAAATTGTGTGTTATAATCAGATGGGAACATCTACAGGTACCTTTGAACGAATTAAATCTCTGTAATCTGTTGTGACATTGCTTTCCAAAACCTTAGAGGTATCTTCTGTAAAAATTAGATTAACTGAACTTGGCTTGAATATTGGGAGTTTAATGAATTTTCTTTGGTGAACTTCAACCAGTCACATATTTTATATATTTATTGTGAACATATGATATAATTATATTATGTATATGTTCCCTAAAAATTGAGTTTTACAGAAATTTAAGCTAATATACATTAACTTCCAAATAACATAATATAAATAGAAAAAATGCATCTCTTTAAACACCTTAAATGAGAAAGCATAAAATTTGAGTCTGTGCTTCAATTTGTCTCTCTTAGTGTTTTTCTTAACAACCTACTAAAGGAATTAGGTATAGTAAAATAGTTATTCCTGTACCATAATTAAATATTTGGTTATATTTACATTTACATTTACATAAATTCAATAGAAAGTCTGATAAATAAATCTGCATGTGTGGTTTCTTTGGTTGATATAAATGGAGTTTATGTGGAGAAGATCAAGAGAGACACATCCCGTGGTTTATAAACTGGTTCATGTGCATATGTATTTTAATGTGCAGGAGGCTGGGATGAGGAAGGAGACAGGGTAAGAAGACAAAGCCTTCTGACTCAGATAAATGAGATACTTTTTTGCATAGGTGATAAGTCCTGCAGATAGAGAATATGTGACAATTACTTTTTCTGCAAGATTTCATTTGTCCGTGGCTCAGACTGGGGGGTTTTGCAACTTTTTTGTTTGTTGGTTTGGTTGGGGTTTTGGTTTGTTTGTGGGTTTTTGTTACTAATGAGTACTAATCTATAAATCAATTTACAGGCTTATTGCTTCTCTGTTTGGAATCTGATCTGTTGTCTACTAGATTTACTCTGAATTATTCTAATGTGGAAAAACATATACCTGAGGTGCATTCTCATATAAATCTCTATATTAGGCGATTGTACAAAGGCTACATAGTGCCTCTGGAGGCTCCATTATTTATGCATTATGGATAATTACTGAGTGTAAAAGCTATATTCAAGACTACTGGCAGTCTTTGTATAGGTCCTTAACAGTATATAGAAGTCGTTTCTGAACTCAGAAAATATCCATCCTGGGAGTTGCATCTTTTTGCATAGAGCACTTATTTCCTCTTCTCTCAAGCAGGATGGTGCTGACTGTGCTAAACCTTATGAAAGTACAAGCAGCAAGATAATCCAATAATGAAAAATGTAAAATATTCAGCTTCATAGTGTATCAGTGCATTTATTTTCTTTCTTTTTTTTTTGTATTAGTTTTTACAAAATTCACACCAGCTCCCTACATTGAAAAGAGCTACATAGGAGCCTTGTAAAAATGTCTGACACACAAAAAATATAGAGAGCTTTTAGAAATACTCCCACTGATGGGGAAGAGGACAGGCATCGGGAGGGGGAAGGCAGTGAAAGTTCTGCATGCAGCTGTGGAGGACGGGAGGATTAACAGTTCAGGGTTTGGTTCCTTTAGTTCCTTTACCCTGCTGGGTGCTTGTCTCTCCGTTTTCCTTGCGTTGCTGTCTTGTGCTTTGCCCTTCTCAGTTCTCCTCTGATTTCCTCCACCCTCCCCCTTTTTAATGGAGTACTACTGAAAGCAAAGCTGTTACCACTGATTCCTTGAATTTTCTCTTCTGTTTCAGCATGTATATCTCTAAGAGGGCATTAAGAAAACACTTTGATCCCCGGGAGTTTCCACAGGAGACATACCTACTGTGCGAGCTGAAGTGGCGTGGGGGTATCAGGTCTTGGAAGCACTGGGTCAGAAATGACGATTACAACAATTGCCATGCAGAACAGTACTTTCTGGAGGAAATCTTTGAGCCAAGAAGCTACAATATCTGTGACATGACCTGGTACCTGTCCTATAGCCCCTGCTGGGAGTGCTGCGATGTAATTCGGGATTTCCTGGAGGATCAGCCCAATGTGAAGATCGACATATACGTGGCACGGCTCTACTACGTAAACTGTCCAAGGAACTGCATGGCCCTCAGGGAACTTAAGAGCTTGCGGGAAGTGAGCATTAAAGCCATGGAAGCCGAAGGCAAGATTTCCCATGCTTTGTGGGACTGGGGAGGGGTGAGCTGGTGAACTTTGTGCATGGGTGAATTGAGTATGCGCTTGCTTCTATGGTACCCCATGTCTGCTCGGCTTCTTTGGGGGCACAACCATCACCATGCAGTGAATGAGAGTCACATCCCAATAAAAGGGGTTTAAGTAGTGCAGGAGAAGAGAGTCAGGACCCTTAGCAACCAGATCTGTATGAAAATTCTCTTTTGTTTAGAGATACCATCCTTATGTCACTCCTGAGGCAATGAGGGATATGGTCCTTCTCCCTTGTCCTAAATGCAGTTGCTGGGATAAGGCTGGCTGAAGAGCTCCTTTGCAGTTAAGGGAGGGAAAAAAGATGCCCAGAGTGTATGGTATTGGTTCCAGATACGGAGTGGACAGCATCCATCAGCTGACCTATCCATGGCCAAGCTGTCTCTGTGATATGGACACAAGGAAGAGCTAAAGAAGTCTTGTTCCCTGAGCTTCTCTGGTATCTGAATAAACTCAGGTTAATTATCTTGCTTCTATTTCTCCAGACTATAATGACTGTTGGAACACCTTTATACAGCGAGGTGTCAATTGTGATTTCTCGCCCAAGAAGTTTCAATCAGAGATACAGAGGAATCGTGTAAAGCTCGAAGATATCCTTCAGGTCAGTACACTCTGAGAGATAGAGGGGATCACATGAAATAATCTGCACTCTGGGGCAACTGAGCTGTAAAGAGCAGGAAAGAAGCCCTTGTTCACATGTAGCTCTAGTTGGAATGTAGAGTCCAACTAGACTCTTGAGGCTTTTGGCTTTTGAGAAAGGGAATGTACTAAAATCATGGGAACTATCCTGTCTCACTGGGAGAGAAGAACTATGGATATTTTTCCATCATATTGATGCCATCTTGGGTTTTGCCTTTTTTTCTATGCTCTCTGTATTCTTCGCACATAGATTTGGAGGTCTGTAGCCTATTATTGTATTCTAGCTAGTTTTCTCAGTACTTTTCTGTGTCCTTTCCCTAGGTAGGGAGACAAAACAAATTCCAGAGCTCCAAGCCCCAGGGGTACAAGGCCTGTATCCTATCTTGGTTCTTCCTGGGATCTAAGGTTGAGAACAAAGTCTTTGAGACACATTTTCATAAACAAATAAGCTAGTACCAAGGGAGGGCTCCAGAGAAGGAGCTTGACCTGGGGGGCAGTTGCATTACCACTTGTCCTCCTAATTGGGACTTTTTATCAATTATGCTAATTTCCTAAAACCAATCAAAACTATATTCACCCTGTCTGGCAGGGCTTTTGTGGACATTCTCCATAACTGCCCCTGGAGGCCTCCAAATAAAAATCCACTTTTTTATATTACCTCCTATACTAAAATTATCTCAGATTTCATTTTTAGGTGGAAGAAAGCAACAATATTATGAAGGAAAAGCTATGCAGTTTTTCTCCTTTGGGTTCCAGGGTGGGAAATTCCTTGATTTTTACCTGGAACTCCAGTATCACCTCAGAAACCCTCCACCAGATTCCTTTTAAACCTGGATCTGAGCATGGGTTTCAGTTTGCCAAATGGTGCTACTCAGCCCCTTTCTCTCAATGTCTGCTGTGGTCTGACACCCCCCAGTTACTGGGCCCCTGCATACTTCACTAAAGTCCCTTCCAGATTCCATCCAGTAACTTCTGTGACTGGTTGGAAGGGTACAGTTTCTGTGAGGTGAGAAAAGCTGTTCAAAACAGAATGCCTGCACGCTGGGAAAATTCAGTCTTTGCTTCTGTTTTGTGACAGGCCTCCTGAAAGGCAGGAGAGAGAAAGGTGTGTTCAACCAGAGTGCTGAAAGTTTGTGGCCCTGGAGACAAGACACTTTGCTTGCATGAACAGGTCCACGTCCTTGGCTGGGAAGGACTGTATTTTTTAAAAAATCCAGCAAAACTAATATAAGTGCTTCAGCATTCTGATTTCAATGCATTAGAATTTTCTGACAAATGCTATTTTTAGTGAACGAGAGTGAAAGAAATCTGTGGCTTTGTGGGTCATTGGTTGTTTGGGAAATCCATTTTATATGGCATATGTGGAAAAGTAACATCTTGGGCTACTACAACTAATAGCCTGCTTCTGCCATGTCCATTTCAAATCACAGCAGGTTCAAAGTGCAATTGGAGGACGTAAATGTCATACTTCTATTTCCATTTCAGGGTCTTCATTTGTAGAATCAAAGAATCACAGAATATCTCAAGTTGAAAGGGAGCCAAAAGATCATCAAGTCCTTCTCCTCCCATGACTACCTAAAACTAAACAAAATGACTAAAATCTTCATCCATGTTATAAACTGTTATGTAGTAGTTGGTTTTCACTAGAATTTGTTTGGTTTAATTATAAAATTGTAATTGTTTTTAGATAATTAGTGTAAGTCTCAAATTGCTTTTAAGTGTGGTAAAATTTATAACTGCTTGTGGGCAATGTAAAAGGGGAAATAAGGCTTTTAATGTAAAAGGCTTTTAAAAGATGGAAGTGGGCTTGCAAAAGGTGTCTTTTAAGATATGATTATTATTGCAAAATGTATATCCAAGATAGCATAAGTGAAGAGCAGAAGACCATAAAGGAAGAGTTCCAAGCTTAAAATGGCATCAGAAGAGCACCCTATACTGCCGACATCTGCAACTATTGAATTGTGCAAACGCTGCAAAAATCTGAAGCAAGATTGTAGGCAACCAGCCCAAAATAAATCTGCAAAATCTTCTGAGGAGGTAACACAACTGTAACAGTATAAAAGACTGCAGACAGAAGAGGTGGGTGTGCCTGGCTGTGGCCGTGCACCCAGCGTACGCTGTAAGTTTTGCTTCGTGATTATCCCCTACTATCATTTACTAAAACTCTTAAAAATTTAAGAGGAGTGGACTTTATTTCTGATATCAGTGAAGAATCTTTTCCTAATGTCTAGGCTGAACATCCACTAATGCAGTTTCATTGCATTTACGCCAGTCCTATCACTGATCCGTGGTCTCAGGATTACATAAATTTCAGGATTACCTGGTCCCAAGTGGAGAATGCAGCACTTGCTCTTGTAATATTTCATACAATTGGTGACTGCTCAGCTCTTCAGTATCCAGATCTCTCTGCAGGGCCTCTTTACCCTCAAGGGAATCCACAGATCCTCCTAGTTTAGTTCATTGGCAAGATTACTTAATTTTGCTTCCTACATTTGATTCCCCCATTCAGATGATTTATAAGAACGTTGAAGATCATTGTCTGTAAAAATGAGCCCCAGGGAGCCCCAGTGGTGGCAAGTCACCAGCCTGATGTAATCTCTGGCTGTAACTTTTTGAGCTATCAGCCAGCTGCTCACCCAGAGCCCTATGGACTTATCTCGCTGTGTGCTGGACATTTTATCCTGGAGGTGCAGTGCTGAGGCCTGAACCAGGATCCTTGAGCCTCACTAACGAAGTGCTATTAGCCATATGATATCATTTTTTTGGTGAAACATGTATTCACCTTTCTGTATTTAGAATATGGACAAGGCCAGGTCTGTTTTGGACTACCTCTATTTTTTCTATCTTTCCTTCTTCCTTTCTCCCTCTGCTTAAAAGTTCAAGTCACTGCTGCCACAGGCTGCCCAGAGATGGCTGTTGCCACATGTTGTTCAGAAAGGTTAAATCTGCAGAAATCCAGGCTGTTCAGAAAGGTTTGAATTGTTGCTGCTACAGACTGTTAAACTGATCATACGGTTTTAATTGCTGCAGCCTATAAATAAAAGTTTCTAATTGATTGCTTGGTGTTGTTTTGCCTTAATTTAGCCCAAGGCTATTCCAAATGTTGGCTACCACAGAGGAGGTGGTCCAGACATCCTTCTCAGGACCTGATAATTGTCTCTCAGAATAACCTTCTCCATAGCTTTACCAGGCACTGAAGTGAGACTGACAGGGTGTAGTCACTAGGGTCTTCCTTCTTACCATTCTTGAAACATTGGAACAGCACTGTCATCTTCCACTTGGCCTGGAACCTTTCCAGACTCCCAAGACTATTGAAAAACAATGCAAGGTCCTGCAATGATATTGGTCAGCTCCTTCAGTGCCTTGGGATGAATCCTGTCAGGCCCCGTAGATTTGTGCTCATCCATCTGGGGCAGCCACGCTTGAACCAGTTCAAAGTTGTCTCTGGGCTTATCATCCCCTCAGCTGTGGTCTTCTGTGTTGGGGTCCCAGGGCCCATCATCTGGCAAGAGATGGGCAGGATGCCAGAAGGAGCATCTCTGGAGACCTGCTGTCCTCTCAGATAGCCTTGTTTCCTACCTCATGATTCAAGAGGAACAGAAGTGAACTTAAAACCACAGAAAGTGCCCCATCAGGGCAGAAAGCACAGTGCAGACACTGTATCTAGCAGTGACAGAGGGGCTGTTTTCCACAGAGAGCAGGCAATCCTGGCCACCAGCTGTGATTTGTCATTATCTGTCCCACTACCTCAATACCCACAATGACTGCATTTGGGAACCCTGCGTCTCACCTTTAGTGTCCATATATAGACCTAGTTTCACCCTGTCCTGCCATCTGCATCCACAGTTTACTGGAGCAGAACATTCCAAAATCTTATAGTTAGCCATGTACATAAGCACTTGTTTTAAACTGATCACCTAATCACAGTAAGAGTCATTTCTTGCTGTAATAATGTCTCATCATGAATCACTGAAACACTAGTCTACATTAGAAAGACTGTGCTAACCTAGAGGATTTCCCACTGTTTCAGTGGGAGCTCTGACATGTAACCAAGAGCAGCACTTGATTTTAAAATGCAGCTTCAAAAATCCACAGATGCTCTGTTCAACAGAAGCAAATCCCCCATACACCAAGAGGTGTGACTGTGGAATGATAATTACAGTACCCATGGTTATAGCATTTCAGCATCTCCACTCAGATAGCTAAAAGAAGTAAGTAATTATTTTTATTTACAAGTCCATCCTGGAACTGGGTCAGTAGATGTATCCACTGGAAACTCCTTGTGCTTTTAAGATGTTTTTAAAGAGGCAGGGAAAACTGATCACACAAGTTGCTGTGGGGGGCTGGGAAAGAGAAACACAGATGATGTGAAACTGCTGAACAAAATGTATAAAGTGGACCAAGTGTTTCCCTTTCAGTCTCCAATCTAACTAGTTGCTGGCACAGTCTGCCAAACAAAGGGTATCAGAGTATAATCTTCCCAGCAGCTTTGGGGGGGGTTGTTGATGCCCTGTCAGTGCCAAGGCTCATCTTCCTTAGTCCTTGTTTACACTGTCCTGTTGGCTTTCAGCCCGTTCACATCACAACCAGCTTTTGTTCAAAGCAAGCTTGTGACATTCCAAGGTCATGAGCAAAGAACCCCAAATTGTTTTCACAATAAAAAAAGAACAAAACAATTATTATGGTCTGTGCCTCTTGGGGCCCTGAGGACCTAAAAAAAAAAAAAAAAAAAAAGGGTTATCTTGCCCACCCTCACTTGTGGCTTCCACTGACACACTGCCCAGGAAACTGATATGGACTGGAATGAAGAAAATTAACTCCATCCTTGATGGTGCCCAATGGTTGCAATGCCTGGTCCTGGTAGCTATTTTCTGCTTTTGATGGAGGTTTTGCCTCCCATGACAGCTACGTTTTCCGGGTGAATTTTGGAGAGAGTTTAACCATATATTGTTGTCATTGAGCTATCCCTTAGTGCTTAGAAAAGAAAAATCTCAGAGCTGCAAGTTCCTAGAGCTGCTCTGAACACTCTCCTTGGTACAACCCATAGAAAATCATTGCTTTCTCTCAAGTGAAGTCCACTGGGTTATTTGATCCCCCCTCATATTTAAAACTCTGGTGGTTGTGTGATGACTGACTCAGGCTCTCAAGCAGGGCATGGGCACTAATCCCCACAGGGTTTGGGGTACTTGTTCTGCTTTGTACTTTGACAGAGTGTGTGCATTGAAACAAAGACACAGAAAGGAAGCAAAATCAGAAAGATAAATATATCGAACTTCTGTGACTCAAAGTAGGGTGAGAAGACTGTAGAAGGACTGCTTAGAGTAGAAAAACTTTCCAAAATAGATAAGTAAAACAGGATACTTGCAGCTTTTTCTTTTCACACTGACTCCTCATGAAGTATCTTTAATGAGCTGGGAAATTTCTACAACCTCACCAGTTGTGAAAGAATTCTATTACCAGGATATCAGGATGTTTTGTTACCCAAATAAGCATGCAGATAAGCCCTTCCCACCAGCCAATAATTTTTCAATTTGCCTGCATCAGAGCTCTGCCTGCACATCCTTGTGGCTGGCTGCCATTCCACTTCACTGTTCAGAGTCAGCCTCATAAAGCTCACCCAGCAGTGGCAGGGTGCCACGAGTTATCTTAACCTCTTATGTTTCGGTTTCCACACATGGAGGCTGAGCAAGAGTCTCAGTAAAGTGTGGTGACTCTGTGCAGACTGCAGAAAAAATGAAAGCAAAGGTACTGGGAGAGATAAAAGAGTTATGGGTGGGTGTGCTTATCAGAGTTGCAAAGTAATATGCTGCCAAGGAGGTGTATTTGTGTATCTACAAGCTTGTTTTTATATGCATTATTGCATTATTGTGCATACACATATCTGTAAATATCTGTAAGCATCTTCATGAGTGTGAGCTCATAGGTTCATACATAAACACATTTTAGCCTTCTTTAAATGTGGAGGTCACAGAATAAATCTCAAAAGGCTCTGTGTGGTTTTTCTTTCCATAAAAAAAATATAGATACCTACTGAGAAAACTCCATTAAATCCAAGTAAACACACAGTGGATTTTCCTTTTACTGTCAAACGTGTCAGCAGCAGAACACTTGAACTAACACAGGATTTACCATTTCAAATTAAGTCCAGGAGGCAGCCTGTTAGTGGAGGCTGAGACCTAAGCCTCTGTGGCATAAGCCCCAGGATTTTGTCACATTTAAATTTAACCTTCCTCTTTGCTTCCAGACTTCCATTTGGTGATTCTCACCTCTTTCCAATAGATCATCCAGCTAGAGAATAAAAAGCTCGCCACCTGTAAAATCCTCAGCGATTTGCAAATTAGGATTTTAGCTGATTCAAGCCTTGTCCCTTTTTGTCTTCTTTGATGTCTGATTTAACTTTCCTTCTGTGCTCTTCTTTCTCCTCTAACCTGTCCATCTTCCTAAATTTCTTCCATATGTTTCCATTTCTAGGACTCTGTCTGAGCCCAAATTTTTTACCAGATGCACATCTTGGGTTTTGAGTGTCAGGTAAGCTAAAAGATGCTTGAGAAAAGGGAGTGTAATAGTCATGCTGCAGACCTGCTTTGCTGCAATCTCTTTTCTGGGAGACATCTGAAGAGACCTAGCTCCCTGATGCTCTGTCCACCTCTTTGTCACCCAGTGTGCATCCTGGAGGCCCTTTGTAAAATGTTCTGAAGAAACTGTGATGCTTTTAGTTTATTTTCCCTGTTGAAACTCATCATATATATACAGCATGTCTCTACTACCACCAAAGGGAATAGTCTCATGAAGGTCTAAGGAAGCTGGTGTTTAAAGGAGGCATGAGAAAGTGTCTGTCTACCATTCTATGTACCCTTTGCTGTGTATGTTCCTCCAAAATGCATTCAGGTTCACAGGGCATACAAATGAGAGTGGTGGTTATTAAAAAAAAAAATCCTTTTCCTGGAGTGGTTGAGATATATTCAGATGTTACCAATAGCTCAGCATCACAAGCCACCTCTGCATTCATCTCTTACATTACCTTAAGCAGTTTCTGTAAGGGCACATAATTAACTGCATGAGAAGTAGAATAAAAATTTTTACCACAGTTGTTTGAGTAATACAAGACTCCACCTATATAGATAACCCTTGCTACAGGCATGTAGCAATTTAAAGGGATACTGGATTGCTGCTGGTTGCTCATAAAATCAAAGAATAGGTTTCCCACCTAGTTGTATGATCCTTATGAAGGTCTTCATCCTCCTCTTGACTCACTGAAGCCTAGTCCCCACAAACAGAATGTGCAAGTTCTTCTAGAAGTATGAAAATTCACTTGTGTGGGAACCTTGTCTTCCTGATTTTATTTGGGTTTAAGCAACTACTGAATTGGGAAGGGATTAGTCTTCTCACATTAGGCTAACAGAGCAATATTTCCAATTTTTTTTTTCATTTTGGCTTTTCACCATCTCATACAGCACATTCAGCTTCCTGCAAACACCTGAAAGTGTTGCATTGCTGATTCCTTGCTCAGACATTTTTCCTTCTCCACTTTCTGTGGCACATTGCTGGTTTTCAGTCAGGAACTACTGCTGCTAATCAAGCCAGTCCTTTCAGACTAATCAGACTAATCATCTCTAAGCCTAATTCACCCCTGCTTATTTGTAAATATGTACTGTAAGGATAGGGCAGTGAAGGGAGTTCTACAGCACCAAAGCATTCCTCTCTCACTGAGAATCACACCCATGAGCTAAAAACCATATTAGTCAATCACGGTTTTGTTTCAACAATCTCTTGAGTGTTTGAGTTTCTCCCCTTCACTCTTCTATGGCAGGAAATAATGCAACCACCAGGGAACAGTTCTGTGCTGAGAAGTGAGGAGTTACCTTGCAGCAGAAGAGGGCAGACTCTGTGTTGGCACTGCCAGATGACCTGCCACAACCACTCTTCTCCTCGACAGAGAGTCCTGCCAGTGCCTGAATCCCCACTCCCTCTGAACTTCACCATTCATGTACACTTCCAGGTTTTTTTCTGCCCTGGTGGAAAACTGAACACTTTTTAACAACAGAATACTGAGAG